GCGGTACAAACGAACCCTTTGAGGTACAAACGAATGTGAGGGTGGTACAAACGGGTACAAACGACTAGGAATCAGCACCCGCAAGAAGATTTGGAATATCTCAAAAAATGGCGAAGTTACCCCTTGGACGTACTTTCAAAACGCGGTATAAACGCACCCCTTGGGGTACAAACGAAAGTGAGGGTGGTACAAACCTCTACGGACGTCCCTTTTTATGATGGCTTTGAAAGAATTAAAAAATGTTAAAGTGGGGTGCTGGGGTATTTTTCACCCCCTAGTAACTTTTCACCCCTTGGGGTACAAACGAAAACAAAGGTGGTACAAACGGGTACAAACGATGCTAAATACGATGCAATTGAAAGAAATAAAATTTTTGAAAGTCGGGTGCCAGGTTCAGGTAGGTCACTCGAGAAGGATAAATAATTAATTTTCTAAGAAATGTACATGTGCATGGTGCGCGTGGCACGTGGCACATGCTCTGAGATTCCAAGTAAAACGCAAATTAATAAGTATTTAATGCAATTGCGGTATGTCGGCGAATCCTGGTGCGCACTTCGGCGAATAAGAAAGAATACATTCTTCGGCGACGTCTCTTGACGAGTAATTTCTGGAAACGCGTACAAAGGTGTGGACCGCTCGGTTTGCTGGCGAATACCGATAAGGGCCGGCGAGTCGTCGGTGTTGGCACGCGGCTAGGCGGCGCGGAGGTTCGATCACAGAGAGCGGGCGGCATCGTAAGGTTCGGCAGTTCGGCCGTAGAGGGATGGCCGCGAAACAAAGATTGACGGAGGGCACGTGGTCGATTTTTCGAGAAATCGGCGTGGTTGCTAGGAGACGTCGTAGGGGAATGAACAATATAAAATGAACGAGGGCTCCTCGAGGACCGCACTTCGTTTTTATAATTTGCACAGTCGACTTCACGTTTACATTTTGTACGATTAAGTTACTTAAAAAATTCTGAAAATCGACAATTATTTGTATGTAATTTGAAGGAGAAAATTACCTGGTATCATTTCGTATATTCCGCATAATTTTCCAATAAAACATTTAAAAGCTATGTTTATATAATATTTGCTTATAATTTTTATTCACAGAAAATACAGGTGAAGTTTCACATACAAAACTGGGAAACATTATACGAAAAACAAAAAAGTCCGAAGTCATTTTATATTTATCTTAAAACTTTTTAAACAAGTGTAAAAAGTGTGTTATTATAATTCTTTCTCTTATTTATTGTACTGACTATTTTGGTAAAGCGTCGGAATATATTATGTGATTCAACCATAGAAGTGCACTGAATGGTATTTTATTTATATAAAATAATTTTATTATTAAAGTTTATTATTTGTACAACACCTCCTAAGTAAAACACATCATTTTTTATAAATTAGATGATGTGTGGATTTTCGCTAAATCCAAATTTTCTAAATTCTCACATATTTTAGAAATTTTTAAATTTCCAATTTTTCAAATTTTCCAATGCTTATAAGTCTCTAATTCTTAAATATTCAAATCTCCAAATTTCTAATTCTCTAAATTTTCTATAAATTCATTAGATTTTACAGTTTTAAAAATTCTTCAAATTACAGAAGTTATAAAATTTTCAAATTGTCGAATTTGAAGAACTTTTTCTAAATCAAATTTAACAAGATCTGTTTGCACTTACCGAAATTGCTGAGATGCAGAAAAATTCATAATAATATAATTTGTTTGGCTATTAGACACCATAAAAAATATGTATTTATTAGAGTCTCTGACAATAAGTATCGCTACAACATTGTATTAAATATGTATTGCTCACAAAATTGTGGAGGCATTCCATTCTGCTACTTACTGTTTGTATACAGACACAGGATTACATAATTTCTCTTCCATTTTGGGAAATCAAATATGTGAACCTGAAAATTTCAGATTTTTTCGATGCAGGACTTTTCCAATTTTTAAACTTCAAGATTAGCCAGAAGTAAATTGAAATTTTTAATGAAATGCTTAAATTTCTAGATTTTCAACGGTCCGAAATTTGAAATTTCCAAAGTTCTACGTTTGTAAACTTCAAAATTTCTAAATTTGAAAGTTTGGTTTACTATATTCACTCTCTGAATATTCACGATCCTTACAAGGGACATTACCCAATCGCCAATCGCCGATTTTGGTGCGTTTTGAGTATGATATAGAACGCAAAAAAATATTTGACACGTATTTTTTTT